ATAGATACAAATATTTAAGTAAATGCTTTGTTTATAATAAACAGTATTAACAACATTTACCGGCCTGAATGTGCGGGAAATTGTCATAGAAATATGCGCCCTTCGACAGGAATCGAACCTGTATCCAATACGGAACCGTCAAATAGCTTGACGTGCCTTAACCGATTGGGTCACAGAGGAGCGGTCTGTTAGCATGGTCGATTTTACTGTTTTTAAACACAATTCTCCATGATTTTCTCTTATTCATTCATATCTGCTCGATGCGTATCCAAATGTAAACAAATGACGTCATACATTATGAAACATTCGATTCCTGTCGGAGGACGCATATTTTCTATGAAAATTCCTCGGACGTTCAGGCCGGTCAATGTTGTTATTACTGTTTGTTATAAGCAGAGCATTTGCTTAAATATTTGTATCTATAAAAAGAACTTATAAACATAAAAAAAATGCCTTAAATAATTGTAGGATTTTGTCCATTTCATTATATATATATATATATATATATATATATATATATATATATATATATATATATATATATATATATAAATTTATATATATAAATTTTATTTTAGGATATTACAAATATGTAAAAATCGCTACACAATTGCAGTCGTTTTTTAGTACGTATCAAGGTATCTGGTGATTGTAAAGTACTGGCGAGTGAACGACTTATTTAGATTTGAAAGCAAAATGCAATCTCTTTTTACGAAAAAAAACAAAAAACAAAAATTAAATGTCTTAATTTCAAAATTAAACATTCCTGAGCCGAGTTTGAATCTCAGTCAAATCCATTACATTCAATTTCGTCATATTACTCTTGGGATAGGTATGAATCCTTTTCTTCTCCCCACCCCCAGCTATGGGTTAATAGACCGGGCTCAATAGCCATGGATGGCAACTAGTCTAACACAGAAAAAAATGGCAACCAACTGCGTGAAAAAAAATCTACCTCGTCAGTCATCTATCGAAAGATAAATGATCGCTTAAACGTATATCACGCATGGCACATAACTGACTGACTGTATTTATTATCTTTTTTCATTATTATTATTATTATTATTGGGTTTTATTTATTAGTATTAATTCTCCATCTCTTGATATCAAGCACTCAAATAACAAGAAAGCTTAATTTAAAAATGTTATCTTCCAGAAATACATAGTCGGCAATTTTTTTCTTTTTTTTTTTTTTTGCGAAACACAATATAAGTTATGCTTGTGTGTATATCTGAGTGTGTATTGGGATGGGTACAATAATCTGGATATGCTAGTTTCTGGGTGAATCTTTGTTCCTTGCTTTTTTTCTTTCTTTTTTTTTTGACCTTTCTCCACCCACGTTCTTCGTGAATTTTCTGTACCTAAACTTGGGATCAACAAGTACACGCCAATCCTTACGCTATCCCGGTAATAAAAACGAGTTAGTCGTGACAAACAAACAAGATGCCTAGGGCAACCACGTTGTTGTGCAATTGTTAACAAGCTGATCATGCAGGCAATTAGTAGTGAATTTAATCCTCACTAGGTGTCACACTCCTACACTTTTGTGCTTGGTAAATAATTACATACCGTGAAATGGTGTATTGGCTTGCAAGCTTGTCTTCTAGGAGATTACAACTGAATAATGAGTTTGAGCCTCACTAGGTGCCTCATGCTTATAGCCCTGTTCCAAAATTAAGCTAAACGTTGTAATTATCAATTTTGACTTCTCGGTATGGTGCACGGGTTAACGAGTTTATTTTGTTGGCCATTACACCACAAAAGAGTACATCTGTCTTTTTATATGGCAATGGACGCTGGACAATCTGATCAAAGCATTTAGAGAAAATGGAAACAAAAAGGTAACTTGTATTTAATTTTTGGAAGAGACAGTTTAAATTTCTGGGGCACGTAACGAGGAAGGATGGCTTCGAAAATATGATACGCACATGACAGATTGAGGGAAAGCGGAAAACTGCATATCATACTTGATGGGTTTAGTAAATGGACGCCGGACAGGGTTTGAGAAAAGTAGCAAAAAGACAAAAATTATTAAGAACTACAAGAGACAGGAAGATGATCACCTACACCCCAAGATCACCTACACCCCAAAGGCACATTAAGAAATAGCACGTCAGTCGTCACAGAGTGCCCCATATTTTTGACCTTCAGCCAAACTTAGCTAAGCTTAGGAAGAAATAAGTAGCTCTTTTAGGGTTTGGCAATTTTTAACCAGGTTAATCCGGTTCAACATTCCTACTACGTAATGAGTTCGATTCTCAGTGGGTGCTCCAAAATTGTAGCCTTCTACCAGACTAACATAAGCTCCCGAAATACCTACAGGTCTTCTCAAGATGGGGTAATGGTTAGCGAAATAGTATAGTTAACCATTACCGCCTGAATAATATGTATATCCCCACTGGGTGCTCCATACTCGTGGCCTTGTGGCAAAGTAAACTAAGCTCAGCAGGTAATAATAGTCCGAATTATGTAAATAATGTAAGCAATCATAATACCTCATCTCAGAGATATAGAGGCCGAAACGTTATGAATATGGCAATGAAGATTAGCATAACATCCCGAGTAATGTAAATAATGCAAGTCATCATAATAACTCATTTCAGAGATATAGAGGCCGAAACGTTGTGAATATGGCAAAGCAGATGAGGATAACAGTCCGAATAATGTAAATAATTCAAGTAATCATAATACATTATCTCAGTGATATAGAGGCCGAAACGTTGTGAATATGGCAATGAAAATGAGGATAACAGTTCGAATAATGTAACTAATCATAATACCTCATCTCAGAGATATAGATGGAAAGAGGCTTTTTTGTGGCTTACCAATCAACTACACGGGAGCGACAATCTTTTAAACTTCTGAATCTCTATTACAACTCAAATATTCGCCAGGCATCACTTGGGACATTTTTTTTTCCTGTTTAGGATATTGTGTAGTGACTCTTTCTGCTGTCACGGCCTTAATGATTTAGTTATCTTAACTTTCTGATGATTTGACTGATCAGTGACTGCGATATTTCATTATGATGATATCATTTTTCAGCTGTCTGGTTGCTGCATCCGACTGGTAGATAGGCTTTCGAAGTCTTTGGTAGGGTTATTTGTAGTATCGTGCCGCTTCACGGGAGTCTGTCCCTGCATGTATTTCCGGTGGATAAGCCCGGGACCACATTATACTCTCGTCTTATCCAAATTCTGCCAGATTGTATTGCCAGTGATGACAGATGCCGATAATTATTTTAACTGTTTTATTCCGTTCAAAATATTGTCATGGCAGATACACTGGAAAGAAAGAAGAGTAAACCAATAGACAAAAACACAAAAAACAAAAAAAAACTACCGCTTCAACCTTTCTTTCTCGTAGAATATGATCCAATGTCTGTGATAAAAATTTCTTTTCTCGCTTGTGTAATTCTCGTCTAGCTTTTTCCTTTCTTGTCAAATTTTATCTTCAAATATTTAATTGCAATGTCAGTCGTTATCATAAATGAATATATATATATATATATATATATATATATATATATATATATATATATATATATATATATATATACCGGCCTGAATATCTGAGAAATTTTCATAGAAAATATGCGTCCTCCGACAGGAATCGAACCTGTATCCTATAAGCCTGACGTGCTTTACCGATTTAGCCACAGAGGGCGTTGAAAGTTACCAAGGTCGATTTTACTGTTTTTAAACTACAATTCCCCATGATTTAAAAACAGTAAAATCGACCTTGATAACCGAAACGCTCCTCTGTGGCTAAAATTAAAATTTAACAGAGAGAAGTTTTAAAGAGAGGAGTTAAATAACGGTTGAAATGAGTGAGATACAGATAAATATGAATTATTTTTTGATGCATAATTCGCTACCGATTCGCTGACCTAAATTAAAATTAAAAAAACAGACACCGGAAACGTCTGAATATATTTGTGGTGACACTACGCACAATAACAAAAAAAAAACGTTATGATCTAAACGTAAAATCTAGAAGATGACAAAGAGAGGGGAAAAATGGGTTGGGGGAAAACAAAAAACGAATGGCATTTATAAGAGAACCGATGTGTAAACAAGAAAATTTGAATCCCCACCTTCACCTTTAGCCCTTCCTGTTCTTCTTTCTTCTGTTACACCCTCTCTCTAGAGTTTTCATACATTTCCCTCTCACACTTGTTTCCCACTCCCACACATACACTCTCACTAAAATTTTATTTTTTTATAACCGGAGTTATATTTTCCGATTTCTTTTTTAATTTGTAGATCTGATGAATTCTATCGTAATTACGATTCCAGTGTAATAAATTATAAGCATGGAATATTAGTGTTTGAGCCTTTATTATTATTATTATTATTATTATTATTATTATTATTATTATTATTATTATATATTTATATGTGTGTGTGCGTGTGTGTGTGTATTTGAACTTTATTTCTATCCTTCATGAGCTTCTGATCCTTAGCTATGATTAATTAATGATGATTATGTCATTTTTGTTTATCATCGATTCCATCACGATTCTTCTGTTAAGGTTGGAAATTAATTATACATTCTTATTGCGCATAATCTAGTAGTGTCATAAAAACGTTGGAGAATTCCAGTAACATATCTTTAAACCTTTCTAACAATTGGACAATTTTGCTGTTAGGCCCGGATAAGATATGTACCACACCAGAAAGTTTCTGACGCATCATACAAAAATCCGATCAAATCAAAATATAATATTGCGTTTATATCCCGGCTGAAGCTGCTTCTTCCTGACAACCGCTACCTTTTGGAAAAGGCTCTCAAGAAGATAATTCCACGATCACTACAATCTTAGCTTCTTCAAGTCTGGGGTCAACCGTTATCTTCATTCAAAAGCCTGATTTAGTAATTATCTCTTTAGTGAGCCGAGGACATTGTATTAGATTAACAACAGATTTTTTTAAATGTAGCAGCTGACACGTCATTTTTAGCCAAAGTCAAAATTCTTTTGACTCGAAAAGTACCAAAAAATGTCTGCTTTTCTGTCTTTTAAAATTAGTATTCCTGTTGTTCTTTTTTGTTACTTAACTTGACTCGAGATTGAAACATTTTTTAATCATTTCACCCCAATCAAGGCGAGAATGCCACTAGTACGAAGGGGGTTACAGAGAGGGAAAGTAAGAGAAAAGACTGAGTATAGGAAGGATTGAGTAAACGATAAATAATGAACGGAATTCAGGAAGATAGAAGATGACGATTGACGTTGCATTTAAATTTTTAAAGATTGTAGATATTAGGGAAGTATGTAAACGGAAGTGAGTTCCACAAGCAGAAATTTCGAGACAGGAAACTGTTGGAGTAGAAGTGGCAGTTGCATTTAGCTATTTCGACAGTAAAATGGTGAGAATTAGATGCCAATATAGTAGCACGCTTAAATTCATGTAATCGGAGCACCAGAGGAAAAAAAAAAACTTGTCAGAGCAGTAACCATAAAAAAATTTGTAGAAAAGACAGAGGGAAGTTCACGTCACGTCGATGAGAAAATAATTGAGATCGAGATGCGAAGTCAGTATCGATTACATTACAGATCCTTCTTTGGATTTTGTTAGAACCTCGAAATGAATTGTGGGATCGCCAGACCAGATATGGCAACTGTATCCAATGCACGGTCGAATGATAGATTTGTAAATGTACAAAACGGACTCTGACCAGAAAAAAAAACCTCCTGTCACAACAAATATATATATTTTTTTTTATCTTTCTTTCTTTCCATCATCAGTCTTCCTTCCTTTCTTTCCATTGTCAGTCTTCCCTTCCCTTCTTTCTTTCTTTCTTTCTTTCTTTCTTTCTTTCTTGCCATTACCAGGCTTCCCTTCTTTCTTTCTTTCTTTCTTTCTTTCTTTCTTTCCATTACCAGGCTTTCTTTCTTTCTTTCTTTCTTCATATTGTCCCTTTTCTCTTATTTCTTTCTTTCTTTCTTTCCATCATCAGTAAATTTACTTTCTTTCCATTGTTTTCTTCTTCCCTTCTTTCTTTCTTTCTTTCTTTTTTTCTTTTTCTTTTCCATTACCAGGCTTCCTTCTTTGAGCCTTTTTTTTCTTTATTTCTTTCTTTCTTTCTTTTTTTCTTTTTTTTTTCTTTCCATTACCAGGCTTCCTTTTTCTTTCTTTTCTTTCTTTCTTTCTTTTCTTTCTTTTTTTTTTCCATTACCCCCTTTTTCTTTTCTTTCTTTCTTTCTTTCTTTTCTTTTTTTTCTTTCTTCATATTGTCACTCTTCTTTCTTTATTTCTTTCTTTTCTTTTCCATCATCAGTCTTCCTTCCTTTCTTTCCATTGTCGGTCTTCCTTCTTTCTTTCATTTTCTTTTAAAAATTTTTTCATGAAAGAAATTTCTTTTTTTCTTTCTTTCCATTACCAGGCTCCCCTTCTTTCTTTCTTTCTTTCTTTCATTCTTTCTTCATATTGTCTTTTTTTTTCTTATTTCTTTCTTTCTTTCCGCTTTGTAACTCTTCCTTTTTTTTCTTTCTTTTTTTCTTTCTTTCTTTCTTTCTTTTTTTTCTTTCTTTTCTCCTACTCTACTTATTTCCTTTATCACTTTTTTATATCCCACCCTCTCTTTCCATTTCTTCTGACTCAGAACTTTCTTTCTTTCCATTATCAGTCTTCCCTTCTTCCTTCCTTCCTTTCTTTCTTTCTTTCTTTCTTTCTTTCTTTCTTTCTTTCACTCACTTCTAAACTTCGATTAATTTCTTTTCTCTTTGTCTTCCACTTTCTCTTTAATTCAATGCGCAGACGAATGATATATTTGTAAATGTGCAAAACGAAATCTGCAGAGAAAAATCTTCTGGCACGACGAAACTCTTTTTCTTTCTTTCTTTCTTTCTTTCTTTCTTTCTTTCTTTCTTATAAAGACATAAGTGGCACGTGAGAAGAGATGGATTCATACATTTCCCAAGGGTATTTGTACGAAAGCTTGCGGTCGGTATTCGAACAAATTAAAAAAAGAACCGGTTACCAAGATCAGTCTTCGACGGCGAGAATTAACGAGACTAACCACAAGATATACCATCGAGTAACATGCGACTAGCGGTAACCGGAGAAATTGAACTGTTGTACTATTTTTCATTGAAATTAATAGTTTTGAAATCTCCTTATTCCACGCGAAGTAAACATTTTAAATAGGTGCTTCATAGCATAAATATAATTATGTTTGTATATCTTTGACAGCAGAACCAGCAATACGATAGTAATGGCGAGGGATAAAGGTCGTGCGAACTAGCTAACGAAAGGATGTCACGGTTTTCCTATTTGAATTTTCTCATAAATTTAAATTCTTAATTCAATGATTGAATAAGCTCATGGTGAGTTCTACGACAATAATTTCCCCTATCGCATAGTTAAATATTTGAGCATAACAACTTAACAAAAAATATTGCAATAGCAATCTCGAAAAGATTTGGAAGCGACAAATTTTTCCATTTCATATAAACTTTAAACACTTATATTCCTCCCTTTCTTTCTTTCTTTCTTTTTTGTTTCTTTCTTTGTTTCTTTGTTTCTTTTTCTCTCTGATACAAATTAGCATCTCAGATATATCATTTCCGTCTTCTCACGCGGACACAACAGAATAGTCCATTATATGTAAGGTATTGGCAGAGTGAAATTTACTAAGGAACTATCTAACTAACGAAGGGAGTTAAAGACAGGCAGAAATATAATAGGATGCTTGCGACAAGGCATCTCTCATAGTTAGAAGAAGTAAAGTTATTACTGCTGCAAGCAAACGCTAATATAATATAATAATATCATGCCATTTTTTCTTTTGTTTTTTGAATAGTTAACAAAAGTCTACCTACATTTTCGTAAAGCGGGGGCCATTCAGGGGAGACAAATCAGAGAACTGCTGACGAAATTCTTACAGCTCCTCAAAATCTATGCACGGTCTACGGGAGGAACTTAGTACATCCATCTTTGTAACATTAACTAAGAAACCAGTTACGAATGAATACGACTTCCAACGGACAATTTAATGAGCCATATAAAAAAACAAACTAATGGGTCGAATCTGGATGTATAGAAAGCGAAGTAAAATTAGGCATGAAATAAAAAAAATAGAGCAGCTTTGTCAGAGCCCTCAGAGAAAGAAATGCGATAAACATGGACAATTTCCTCACCGATGAAGAGAAAACTAAAGACAAGAGAAATGAGGTTCTACAGGAGGATGATCAGAATACCATGGGGCGCGTAAACAACTAAGGAAATCCTAAGGAAAATGGAAGTAAAAAGAACACTGTCAGAATCAAAATGAAAGAGACAAAATTTCTGGTACACATAAATGAGGAAAGAAGGTTTGTAAAATTTTACGCACAAGACATATCGAAGACGAGAGAGAAACGTGGGGAAAATTTATCAACGACCTTACGAGCTTGTGTGAATGTATGGCAGAATGTGGGGTGCCTAGGAGGAGAAACATCAGTAACAGTTGCAAGGGATAAGAGGTTGTGGAGAGCTATGATCGCACACGTCCTGAAGAGACATTACACATAAAAAGAAAGAGAAGAAAAGTATATACATTTCCAGCAAAACGAGGAAGGAATACGTAAACGGATAATATTCTTATTTGAAAAAAATATGAGAGAACAAATACGAGATAAAAGGGGTTTGCAAAAATTGCCTTCTGTCAGCTTTTATAGATGAATTTTAAATGGAAATGCAACAGACGTGGTAAGATATCACGTGACATAAGGAAAACAATGGCTTGTACTAGTTTTCTTGAATTTCCCGATACTTTCTAGCCATTTCTTTTTTTTATTTTCTATCCGCCTTTTTTTTCTTTTTTTTTTCTTAATACTCACATTTCTTTCTACATTTCTGTTTGCGTCCTCCATTTGCCGCGCTTTTTTTATATATATTTATTAACGTCCCATTTTTTTTTTTTTTTTTTTTTTTACTTTCGTCTTTGACTCGACCTGTTCGTAATTTCTGATTCCTTGTGACAGGTTAAGTTCAGCTAAGTAAATGGGTCTTACATTTCTTGAGCGTCTTCCGGAGATTGATGCTTACTAATCTTGGCCATTCTCTTGTGGTGTGTTCGATTCTCTTTTTGGCTATTCCGTTCTTGGACCTCCACTCACAAAAAGGAAAGACAGATTCCGACATCCTTTTTTATTTCTTTTTTTTTTTTTAATTTCTTTGCTTCTCTTTTTTGTTTTCTTCCCTTTTTGTCATTCTTTTTCTTAAATTTTTGCTGAAAAGTGACACACACACACACACACACACACACACACACACACACACACATATATATATATATATATATATATATATATATATATATATATATATATATATATATATAGAGAGAGAGAGAGAGAGTAGTACCCTGAAAATCCGTCAGATGAAAACTTGGTAGGTAGCTTCTGGCACCCTAATGATCTGACATAAATTACTTGGTCGTTGTTTTTTTTTTTTCTTCTTTTGACTAAGCATTATGGTTCTGATTGATTATTTTCCACCAACACGGATGCCTTTAGTCTTTCCTTTTATACAGATTTTTACCCTGGTATCGATTTGTTCAAATATATTTTATTTACAAATTGTCTTACCTGTTTTTTTTTCACACTGGCCTAGTCTAGGTCCTAAAAAATAATATAATTATATATATATATATATATATATATATATATATATATATATATATATATGTGTGTGTGTATATGTGTGTGTGTGTGTGTGTGTGTGTGTGTGTGTGAAAATATATAGAAAATAGGAAGGAACTGGTTAGGTAAATAATCCAAAGTTCCTTAGTATTTTAGTTATTATTTTAAAAAAATAGTGCTCGATACAAAAGTAGATATAAATATAATTATTTATTTAAAAATATGATTCCAACTCGCGACATAAGAGGTCTCATGTTTCAAAACAAGAGCCGAAAACTTAAATATAATTATTTGAATTAAATTGAGTTAAAGAAAGCTCTGTTCCATCTTCAAGCGAAATTTTTTTTTGGAATAACGTATTTCTGAAATTTACGTGTTTTAATAATTGAAATCAAAATTTCCATGGTAACAGCTAGGGTGAATTGTTTAAATTGGGTAGGTGTGTGTTGGGTGTTAATAATAAGTATCAGTATAGAGTTACTTTCATAGATGTCAAGTCAGGGAAAGGTGAGGGTGTCTAAATTTGAAACGGAAGATGTATTACCCTAGTCTGGTTTGCGTGTCTATGGAGATTTTTTATTTTTTTTTTTTTTTTATGAAAGGGATTTGTGCATATAAAAAAAAAAACGTTTGTTTTGTAACGACTTCATTTGTTTTTTGACGATTTTCATATTTGGGCTATGACCATGAATCTGATTTAAACTATTTATTTGGGCTATTGATTAATCAAGTTATTATATTGTATGCTTGTTTTTAGCTAATTGTTCAAACGATAAATCTGATGATGTCGACAAAAAACCGTTAACTCATGTCTATTGTTTAATAGATTATTATTATTTAGAAGCTTAATAATGTGCAATTTCTCATGGAGGCACAAAGAGCATGGGTCATCCCAAGTTTTACATGTTCTAGCCCTGTTTATAATTTTCCGTTTTACTTTACATGTCCTATTTGTTTCCTTCAGATGCCAAAAATATTTAGATAGGGAAGTCTGATTTCTTTTATTTATATTATTGAAAGAGCACTCATGCTGCCTCCATCTATCTTTAAAATCATTCTTTGTGGACCCATTTATTTTCATTTACTCTTTTGTTTTCGAATTTATATACTTTTGTATTTACATACGCGCTATCACTGATATTGTGCACTTTATCCCATGAAGCAAATTTTCCAAATTGTGCAACAAAAATAACACTATTCTACTCTACTTTGAGCAATAAGAATGTATAATTACTTCTTTAAGTTCATTTTTTTTTTTTTAAGCGTTTCACCCCAAGCAAGGAGGGAAGCCACTAGGATGCAAGGGATTACAGGAAATAGCAACAAGATCAGATAGGAGTGATAGAAGAAAGGATGAGGGTAGTGGATAGATCAAGGCAACTGGAGTTGTCGATTGACATTACACTTGAATAGCTGGAGATTATAGCTCGCAGGGAAACAGGAGAAGGGAAGGGAGTTCCACAGGCGAGAGGTAACTTAAGAGAAGACTCGTGATGAAATCGATCATAAACTAAAATGACATGTTCAGCATTAATAATATCTAAGCATCGGAAAATCATGATGGATTGAAATATGTTTCAACAATATATATTATTCCAGGATCATTTTCCAACGTATTCATTATCGTTTTCGCCCGACCCAACCTTCTTTCCGTCCTGGAGCAATAAGGGACCTCACACGTTGCACGAACAATTTCATTTTTCACTTCTCTATGGACTGTCATGGCTGAAACTTCTCTGTCACGTACCAAATGTCTTATGGATTGAGTTGGATCTTTTCTAATTGATCTCTTTAGCTCTAAATTGAAAGGATGATCCTTCTTGCTGTTGTGACCTCCTGATCCAGTTTTCCGCTCTACTTTTAACTCTTTTTAAAACTAATTCACTGTCCTCTTGATATTCGTTGAATGGACTTTGAAAATGTAAGTCAGAGATGAATGTTGGTACCATCACTGAAAGGCCGAATGATCTTATTCCTTTCACCATTGCTCATTTGGGAAGACAGTGGGGCAGAAACAAACGATTTGTACTTGTTGAATGAATAAAGGGTTTTTCAGTTTTTTTTTACGACAAATGG